TAGAAGATTCCACCACATTCAGGAGAGAGCAAGAAGGGAAAGCTCTAAAGAGGATCTAAGAATAACCTAGAATGTTCTAGAGTTATTTATGTACATTAGAATAGTCTAAGAGATAGAATATTATATTGTAATCTAGAAGCTTCTCTTGGATATTGTATAGTCCCACATTGGCTAGATGAAAGGCCAAAGGCATGGAGGAGGCTATAAATAGGAGCTCCTCCCCTCATTTGTATTTACCCAAGCATTGAATCAAAGCATTCTAGTATTCAAGTGCTAATTATTCCTTTCTCTCTATTCTTCTTCTTAAGAGTGCTTGGGGCTGCTAAGTCCAGTGTTGTGAGTGATTAGGCTGATTTAGTGCTAAGAGAGAGCGCTAAAGCCGCACGGGTGACTTGACGAAAGTTAGTCCGTGACAAGGCGCACATAAGAGCTACTTGGCACCATATTTGTTCGTGTAACTGGTCTCCGATGGAGAAATCAACTATGCAATGTTGATTTACATTTATCTCATTCCCCTTTCTCAACCAGGTAAGGCAATATGACTAGGGAAGCTTCTATGTATCCAATCCTAACATTTTAACCATGAGGGTGAATACCACGTTATCGCGACTGCCATTGTTGATGATCAGGCTGCAAACCTTCACCATGACGATGCACTTGGTGCGAAAAATGTTTTATCTAGGATTGATCTCGCACGGCTCAGATTGTAGTATTCGTCGAACGACTAGTGCTTCTTCTTTGTCTCCATGGAGTTGAAGCTCTTCTTCTGAGTTGTCCTCTGATTCCTCATCGACTTCCTCGGCAGCGCCTAGATCTGTAAGGGTGACGACGCGGCTTGTTGGCAGCTGGAGGCAATGTGATAGTAGCCATGGCACCGGAAACACTTTCTAGTTGGCACTATGTTGGAGGAACTACCATCCTCTGTTTGCTTTCCGCTCTGATATGCCCTGTCAGTCCAATTCTGTTATTTCCTCCAGAGGTACCCTTGTCAAGTGTAGCGGTTGCATGTGACTGTTTAGTTAAAGGTGGTGGTCTGAAAGAGATGACTATTGCTGCTTTGTTTATGTTGTCTCTCCACCTTCAAAGCTAGTGTCTGGATATCCTCCAACTTCCAATATGGTTGTAGCTGTATCAAATTGCTAATGGCGGGTCATAGGCCTTCGAGATATCTGACGATTGTGTGCTCTTGATATGTCAACTCGCTCTTTAGATGCAGGCGGTTGACTGAGTCATGAACTCCTCGACTGATAGATCTCATTGTTGCAAGTTGTGGAGTATTAAGGACATGTCCTGGTGATACTACAGTGGGAGGTATTTTTTCTTCACTGTTTTCTTCATTTTTTCCCACTTAGTTATCTTTTCACTTTCTTCTCTCCTCCTCTACCTTCGTAGAGTCTCCCACCATAAGCAATCATTCTTCTTTAGTTTAATTACAACTAGCTTGACTCCCTTGTCCTCTAACAAGTTTTTATATTCGATGATTTGTTTGACTGTTTGCAAAAAGTCGATATATTCACTGGGGTCCATACTTCCCTCGAACTCTGGGAGATCCATCTTGATGCCAAAATCCCTCTGACCTCCATAAGAGGCCTCTTCTCTCGGCCTACTTTGCTACTAGATACCAATAAGGCGCGGCCAATATTCTTCATCGTTGTGATCTTCTCTGTGGAACGGATTAAGATCTCCGTCTCTGACTTTCCTACGACTCTCTCGATAACAGTGGCAGGTAATCTCTTCTTGGTTCCCTACATCTAATTCGGTTAGTCTCTGTTGTAGACGATGAATTTCACGTTGTATCTCCTCCTGAGTAGAGCCTGATATATCCCTTCAGTGGTGTGGCTAGAGTTGAGAATTGGAAGAATAAAAGTTGATGAAAGGAGAATCAGGCAGAGGCGAAGCCTTAGGAACCCTAGAATAGGACTATAATTGAGCTAGCTCTGATACCAAATGAACCGGAACTAGTTGAGATGTGGGGTAATACAAAAAATAAACTTTAATCAATATAAAAATAATTGTACACCATGGCTCAACAAAAGGAAAATACAATAGTAGACGAGCCCTAGCTAGAGCTATAGGAGAGATTCGAAGGTGGTAGCGGCGTCGGTGGGGTGAGCGGTCGTTAGGTAGGTAGGTTGATTGTGTGTGGTTGGTTGTGTGGTTGGTTGTAGGTGGATTGGATGACGAGATCGTGGAGGAAGTAGGGGTGGCAATAGAGTGGTGGAGGGCAGTGGGGGTGGTAGGTGGCTAGTGGAGTGTTAGGGAAAAAGGATTTGTGAGTATTAGCGAAGTAGTTGGAAGTTTAAAGCACCATCTCAAAGTAGGATACAACCGAAGCACCACCTATCATCGTTACAGCCCTAATAAGAGGGAAGGGTCTCCACACCGAAGACTGGAAGACAACTCTGCTAGAACTTGTCCCCCACACGCACCGAAGACAACTATTTATAGCCTCCTAGTTCAAAATAAGAGGAAGGGGAGTGGGGAGGTAAGAAGAATCCAGAAGAAAAGCCTTTCTAGAAGAAGACGAGTGTGGGAGGTGTCCAGAAGAAAAGCCTTTCTAGAAGAAGACGAGTGTGGAAGGTGCATGAAGCAACTCTGGATCATGAAGATTCACGATCAGCCCTGTTCTTGCGTGTGGGTTCGCGATCCTTCTCTTGATGTTCTGCGATCCCGCAGCGAGCTATCCCGCGAATTCCCGGGATTCCTGTGTCACGCAAAGCTTCGAGCAGCCCCGCCGTTTCGAGGCACCCCGCTCGGGACACTGTTTTGCGCCCCAATTCTGGCACTGCACCGAGCGCCTACGTCATTAACACAATAACCTAACAAATTAAAACAGTTTTAGCCACCATGGTATATTTGAACAGAATAGAATTCTTGAGTTTAAAGCTCTTGTTCATAAGAATTAGTCTGTAGAAAATTAGGTTATTACTAGTAAAAATCATAGTCAAATTAATATTAATTAAAGATTCAAACAAAAATCACTTCAGAAATTCAATATGAAGGGGAAAAAATAAATTGAAAAGAAATTTGGTAGAATCCAAGGATGAGATACAACGATTCAAAACTCCTCATCTTGATTAAACAAAGAAGGCCTCGTGGAGGTCTTCGGGATGGTATCACTTTAAAACTAGGCTAGGGTGGCTATGATATAAAAGAATAAAAACAATGAAAGATGATATGGATTAATCTGAACAACAAAAGAACCTCAAATGCATTCGGGTGAATACCAATATTACAATCACGAGTCAAACTATGACAATTTTAACTACTCTTAGCATGAGTTGCAAGAAAATGTACTATGTACCTGACGCAGTTTCTCAAAGGACTGAACGTTGTTCTCCCGCCTTTGCATCTGATTTAAATGGAAAAGGAAAAAAATGAAACAAAAAAGTAAACGCTTTGCAGTGTACCTATTGGTGATTTCTGTGAATAATTAAACCACCACATGCTCATGTATAAATGTTTTGATTGTTAAACTACATCTTGTACCCACCCTCCTGGTGTGAAGACGATGGGCTTTCTCCCTTGGTCTAAAAACATTATAAGGATTTGTATCATTAACCGGTGGAGGAGGCTGCAAAAGCAGGAAAAAAACTGTTAGACTGCTAAAATAACATCACAATGTAAGTTTAAGAAAAGACATGCTTATGAAAAAAATAATAATAAATGTCATATGCTGTAAGTTTAAGAAAAGGCTTGTTTATGAAAAAAAAAATAATAAATACCATAACTCTACAAACAGCAGAACGCATAAAAAGTACAGATGAAGGGTTACAATTCAAAATGCTGAAAAGCAACTCCTTATCCCTATATTTCTTGCTTCTATGTTGTGCATGCTTCAGGTGAGAGAGAATTGACAGCACGAAATCACAAAATTATTTCCTTGCAGTGTAAATATTCTGTTCAACAATGGAGAGGCGCAGCAAGAGTGGGAATTGTTAAATTATGAAAAACCCCAATCTACAAGTATGGCATTGAGCTCAAGGGGCATGACCAAGCCTATAAAAGTCGGCTTTATTGTGCAGCATGGTATTCTCCAGAGGCTTGACCAAGCCGATGGAGGAAGAGAATTTTAATCTCGCTTTTAGCATAAACTAATTAGAATTCTAAAATACTATTACAGTTGCATGGGTCAAACATCAGAAGTAAGGTACTTCATGCTGCTGCTCTCAGCTTGGGACCAGTGAGGTTGAATTTTTACCAATGGCGTAACACCTATGACACTCAATAGGATGCTATGGAGAAAAAGGATTCATGTAGCCGACCCCACTTAAGTGGGATAAAGGCTTCTTCTTGTTGTTGTTGTTGATTTCCTTTTTCAAGACAATTAGGGCTTCACAGTTAATGAAATTTAAAAGAAATGACTAATGACACTGCCAAAGTGGGCCAATTTATAAGTTTAGATATGATGGTCCTATTTTGGTGGTGGAGGTGTAGTCATACATTTGAAAACTATATATTTACAAAAATAGAAAATGGATAGAAATATAAAATCAAGTACAATATAATTGAACTTTAAGCTATATACAATTTTCCCAACAAAATTTTTTAAGTTCCATGTTTGTTATCTTCGGGTCATCTTTTGCATTCAATGCTAGGAATCAAACCCTGCTAATGCGCTATAACTAATAAGAAAAAAAATATAAAACAAGAATTCTATGAAAAAATGATCATTACAAGATATTTCTTAATAAAATATTTGGCCATTTGGGCTCAACTTAGTATGGCATATAATATTATCCATGACATTAACAAGAGCTAACAACAGATCTGAAACTCCATTCAGCATTCAGAAATCTATTACGGATCAAAACAACTGCATTATCGAGTGCCATTAAATTGTACATATAGCAGTGCAAGACCAAAATACGAGATGAAATAGTGCTATCTAATACATAGCATAAAACAACGGCACTTCAGATTTTATTAAAGCAGAAGTGTATTGCGCCTAAATGTAGATAAATATGAAAAATAAATGTTTCTATAAGGTTCAGAATACAACAGAACTAACCTGTAATCGCCTTAATAATGGTTTCTGCCAACGTTCCCGCTGACAAAAATTAACGAGACATCAATAAGAAAATATTCTAAAAACATCAACAATGGCCTTGAAGAAATCAGTACAAAAAACCAGAGTAAATGCAACTTTCTGATATTAAGGCCTACTTAGCTATATAACATAATAAAGAAGATTGCAGTAGATGATATACATGTAAAACCAAAACATTTATTTTTTTGCAAAGCTGTGCACCTTTGATTTCCAGTAGTAATATATAGATTGAATAACTGCAATTCGCAAAGATTGCCCCTGCAAGGCCTGCAAAATCAAGGAATCATAAGACCGAAGAGGATTAAACTAAATTTACAAATGAAGAAAATAGGCCTGTTACTACACAGAAAGAAACATATATTTGAATAATATTAAACCTAACAATATTTCGCATCAATATAGAAAATATGTTTCAAAAAATTAAAAACCCAGCACCTTGGTAATCTACAGCATGTATGGGTAAACCAAGCACCTTGGTAATCTACAGCATGTGTGGGAATACCCTAAACAGCGGAACTTTTGCTAACGTAAAACTCAATAAAAATACTAAATAAAAGCTAATTCAAAATAATCAAATTATTCAACCAAATAAGTGATTAGGAGAGAAAAGCACAAATAGAAGGCACATGTATTGAAAATTTATTTTAACTCCAATAAATGAAATTAGCAAAGTGTAAAATTGCCAATCATTTCAAGTTTGAAGAGGAAAGTTTAACTTAGTGCCCACAAAACCATAAATCAATGTCAAAGTTCATGAAACAAATACAAAATCAATGTTTATTTCTGTTAAGACATTAACTACAGGAAATATGACAGCCTAACACAGTTCTCATGAGAAATGGCCAACGATTAGCTAGGATGTCATTGTAAATTCAACTCAACCCAATTGTATTAAAAATCAACAAGGGTTGCCATTGCTTATAAGTGATAAGTCACAACCAATGAAAACGTAGAGTGGTTAAAATGGATGGTAGAAAAATATATATTGCACATATTCAGTAAATTTTTTACGGGAGGAAAAAAAACAAATATTAGCGAAGATCATAAATTACTATAAATTGGGAATGTTACAATAAATGAAGAAGGAATGGTGGAAAAATGTAGGAAAATAAAATATGAGGCAAATGAGAGTCCTAAAAGGCTAATTGCCATCAAGTAAATTCAGGGTAATAATTTTATAAATAAAATTGTTGTTTATGTTCCTCAAGTCACATTAGGAGAATTTTGAAAAAAAAAAAATTAGGGCTATAAATGAACTGCAACATGTACATTAGGACGAGAGGATTTGTGGTGACTTGAACAAATATGTGATAACATTCATCAAATCAGGCTTTATGGTCCAGCAAGAAAACACATGATTGATTAGTCGCCCCTGTTTTATTAGTAACTAGAACTTCAGGAATATCAAAATGCAGTATTTATACAATTTTTAAATTTATTTAAACTACTTTGTAGCAAGTTATGATGACTCTCTTCAAGAGAAGCATGACCCAGGAATTTTGTGACAATAATTGGGAATTGAATGCACTCGATTTATGAAGCCTAGCCATCGAATCATCTTTTTCCCAACTCTTTCTTCCTCTCATTCTCAATCTCATTTTCTCATTCTTCATTCTTCCCTCGAGTCTCTCATTTAAACACTTGTTTAACTCATCATGTTTTTACTCATTTTGTTGTCATATCTGCATAAAGCAATCTCAGAGCAAACGCACTCGTGCATTCACTTAAGCCCCTCGTCCCTATCTTTGGCCGAGTGCAAATCTACTCCCTTTTCATGTGCATGCCACTTTTCTCCACTTTTGATCATTGACACTCAATTCCACACGAGCCTCCACTCGCTTCTCAAGAACATTAATGCAATTTCCACATGGTTTCTCATAAAGGCCCATTTACCTTCATGCTCATCCTCGCAAACATGTGTCATACATTTTTACCTTATCTCCTTCCTTTCTATTTGACCAAACACAAATCTTCCTTTCACATCAATATGCTCAAGCACAATTCCACCAAATGTCACCCCAACTTCCTTGCACAATATCAAACATCTAATTTTTCCATGACTCACACCTTAGTTCGCCATTGCCTTCAATTTCAACTACTTCACAGCCTAATACTTTAGCCACAGTTGTAATCTATGTTGCACGAATATAGACACAACACGGGATAGATATGGGACATATCTTTATATAAAATACATACAAGCATTGGACACCCCTCGAACATGTCATTATAAATATATATATATATATATATATATGTGTGTGTGTGTGTGTGTGTGTGTGTGTGTATTAACTAAATAAAATATTAAGAATAACAAAAAATAAGAAATTTAATAACATTAACTTTTAAAAATTAAGGGGCTATTTGGCATTGTTTTTTTTTATTTTTGTTTTCAAAAAGCAAAAAACAAATAAAAAAAATGTATTACTTTTTTACAGGTTTTTTGAAAGGGTCATTTTTAAACAGTTTTGAAAAAAAAACAAAAGAAAAACACAAAAATGATGTTTTTGCCATTTTTAAAACAACTTTCCCCACTCAACCCGACGTGACTCCATATCCTCCTGCTTTTTGAGGTGGCAGTGGCATCCTCGTCGTTCTAACATTAGAGCAATCCTATGGCTGTGTCTTTCTGCAATGCAATCACTGCCTTGCTGGTGATTCTGTCATTTGCATGTGATTTATTTTATTTTATTTTTTTGCTCGTGATGCTTAAATGTCGACCATCTGATGATCAAATTAGAAGAGTAGATGTTTTAGATTCGACTTATGTTAAGAAAAGTAGAGGTATACCTAGGAAGACTTGGGCATATTATATAAAAAATGATCTTAACTTATTAGAATTAAATGAAAATATGACACCAAATAAGATGGAATGGAGAAATAGGATTCATGTAGCCGACCTCACTTAGTGGGATAAATGTTTCGTTGTTGTTGTTGCTCATGCTGCTTGTCGCTGCTGCCATTGTGTGCGTCTTTTTTTCAGACTCTGCCACTTGCTGTTGCTTCCTTTGTCGAAGGTGGAGGTGCAGGTGAAAGAGATGGGGCTCAATGATGACCACTCTCAAAACTGTTGAAATCCAATACTTTGTCTGCGGAGTCCCTGGCTATTGCATCAATGGCATGAAGCTCGTCCTCATCGTCACCGCCTCTTCTTCTTCTAGATCTCCACTACCGATGATTAGAAAACTGAACAGAACATTGAACAAGTAGAGGTGGAGGTTCAAGTCTCAAAAATCTCAATCATAACCTCCAGTACAAAATAGTTTCTCATACATTCTTATCAGTGTTGCCATGAGATCCACCGTAATTTTTTCATTAACTATATTAAAAGTAACAAAAGATAAAAGTGAAAGAGAAATCAAACCTAATGTTGTTCAATCAAGCACCCCCCATTCTTCCATAGTTATAAATTGAGATTTTTTGGTGATTCAATCTAATGGCAAATAAATTTCTTTTGATATAACAAATCTTCAACTTGCATTTTTCAGAACACAAAGTTCAAACCGTCGAACTTCTCCATCTTGTACATCAATTTTTCAACAATTGCTCTCATCGAATAAAAAATCTTAAAAAAATCCCAATCTAATACCGCTATTGGGACGGAAACCGGATTCAAACGATTCACAACCAAATCACACCGCAGAGAAATACAGATTCGAGAGATTCAGAAAACACAATATTTAATGTAGAAAAACTCGAGAACGGAAAAAAACCAAAGAGCCACACCACATCAAAATTCCACTATAAAATGAGGACAAAAGTCACAGATTATACCACACTCAAAGTTTCTCTTTACTTGCCTGGAACTCACTCTCAACCGCACAAGATTAAACCGCAGAAATACAACACAACTCGTTGCACCGCTCGCTCTGTCCCGCTCTTGTTTCACACACTATAGAGAGATATTTTCCTCGTATGGAAGTCGAGGACTTAAATTTCGATTGAAAGAAAACCACTCCTAGTGTTGGAGTGCCACTCCTGGGCAATGCCTTTCCAAGCACTCTGTCTGAAGTAGTTCTTCTAATCGCTGGATCGTCCATCCCAAGCAATAAATTTTCACTGCCTCTATTTCCAAACCTTTAAAAAAGGTTTCGCGGCATAATTGCGCCTCTTCTGAGAATAGAAATTTCAAGCGCTCTGTTCTGTAGAGTTCTAGGCGCTAAGGCGGGCATTTGGGCATCACTTCCAGCACTAGACATCTGTATAGAACAGAGCACTAGGGCTCCTGACAGGCATTGAGGACTTCCACTATCGACACCAATCTTTTGTCCCTTCCAGTGTTGTTTCAAGCCAATGAAGCTCCATCGACACAGCACAAAAAGGTATTAATTTTTTTTTGTTTTTTATTCTTAAAAACAAAAAATATACATGAATGCCAAACATGTTTTTTTTTTGTTTCTAAATACAAAATAAAAAATCATAAGAGTACTAAACATGTTTTTTTTTAATGCTGAAATAAAAATAAAACAAACTAAAAACAAAAGGACGGAAAACAAAAAGGGATCCCAAACGGCCACTAAGAGTCATTTGGCATCACTTTTATTTCCTATTTTAGTTGATATAAATGAAAAGTAAGCATTTATTATCTTGTATTACATCAAGATTTAAATCATTTTAATCAATTACTCATTGAAAAAATTAAAAAAAAAACATTAACTTCTTTAGTACCAATTCTTATGGATTTACATATCTAACACCTAAATTTTAATTTTAATTTATGCTACCCAAGTCTTTCATATTACATCTAATATAAAAATATTTTCTGTTTTAAAAATTGAAATAATTTATTCATATAAATAGTATATATGTAAAAATTTAAATTAGGTGTTAGATATGTAAATACATAAAAATTTAGTGGTATGTATGTAAATCTTTCTTAACTATTACATTAAAAATATTTTTAAATTTTAGTCTTAAAATTATTTTTTATGAATTTTTTAATTCATTAATTTAGGACATGTGCCCTTTTTAAAAAATATTATTTAAATCAAACACTTCTATGACATGTCTAACACTTAAAAAAATATGTCTACGTCCCACACTACACGCATGTTTAATTAGAAGTGCTTCTGCATCATAGGTTGTAATGTTCCCTCAATAATAATCAAAACTCCCTTTGCAAGAAGTTTGCCACGCCCTTAATTTCATTATGTCAAATGGGTGCTCTCAATTAAAGCCAAAAAAATCAATGTTTACTCAATAATCACTTACTACTATTTGATACACATCACGCCAAAGTCACAACATCCCACAATAGTTGACAAAGCATAAACATCCCTTGTTCACTATGTGCAAGATCGCGCTTGCTTAGAATGCCGCCTATACTGCTTTGATCCCAATTAAAGGCAAAAAACAAGCAATGTTTACTTAGTGATCACTTACTACTCTTTAATGCTCCTCACGACAAAGCCACAACAATTGAAAAAGCACAAAAATTCCTTATTCACTCTAATGCTAGATCGTGCTTGCTTAGAATGTCACCTACACTTCTTTGCATTGCTGTAGATGATGAATTGTGCCATGACTCAACTTTTTTTGTCATGAACTTGTCCATTGCCTCCACTTGCAACTATTTAAAATTGTGTAATTAGAGGCGCGCCTTGTGCAATTTCGGCGGGCAGATCAAACATACGTCGGCTCAATTCTGTTGAGGCATGCACCTCCCTCACTTAATTTTCTTTTTATATATATTAGATGGTTTGAATACAAACTGAAGAAGCGCTCCCATGTGCAAGAGCTCCCCTCGTCCCAATCAAGCTTCCCAACGTCGCCACCTATTACTTTTGCTACTAGCACAGCCACCACTGATTTTTATTTTTGTTGTCGTTGCTTGCTACTTATGCTGCAGCAACCACCTACTTCTGCTATAGTTGTCTGTTGCTCTTGTTGAAACCACCGCCGACTGCTGCTCCTGTTGTCTTTGCCGTCAACTGCTTGCGTTGTCGCTGTCGTCAACCGCTCCTGTTGTCGCTGCTGTCAACTGCTCCTGTTGTCGCTGCTGTCAACTGCTCCTGCTACTGTCACAGCCTACTACACTGCCTTTTGATCATTTGTTATGTCCTTATGTAGATATATGAATGTTATTATGTTGCTCATCTTATGTCTTTGATATTTTACGTAAAATTCATTTCATTTTTATGTTGCATTCATTTCATTTTTTATGTTTGTTTAATAACTTAATCATTTGATGTTTATATTATATTTTTATTTTATGCAAGTTATTAAATGATAATTTGGCTAATGCAATTTGTTATTTCATAGAAATATAATTTGTCAATTTTTACCATGCTAGAATATTAATATATATTTCTTAATATATCGATAAGTTATAATACTAATATATTATTATTATCCCTTTATTTTGACTTGTGTGATTTTCAAACCATAAGGCTTATCCTCATACTGCCTCGAGGCTTACGCATCGCCTCACGAATGGAAAATTTCTCAATACCTCATTGCGCAATTTTAAAAATTGTATATGTCCATAACTTTAGAATATGTTTTAAAATAAACAAGAAGGTCTAAGTAGAATAAGCTAAGTGAAATCATGAATGTCGGAAAAGGGCATGGAAAGGAGTTAAAATTGTGATATGAGAAGCGTTACATAATTTTATATGCAATCATAAATATGTATTTAAGAAAGGAGGGCACAATTATGATTTATATTTTATATTAAATTAAATTAAAATCAACTTAAGCTAACTTGTAATCTAATAATTTTGAGTGAAGTTAGTTTAAATCAAAATAAATTTAGGTTAAATTCAAATCAAGCAGGTATTAAATTTAGATTACAAGTCAAACTCCCTCAACCTATCAACCAAAAATACACTTGGGAACCAATGGACACAAATCAACCTCAAGATATCCCCTTACAAACACCCACTGAATAAATCTTACAAGTTTCCAAATCTCACTTCCAACACTAATATACTAGTACTAATGTCTATAGACAAGTTAAAAAACATGTGCTGGAAAATTGACAAAATGACTAACCTGTAGAAATCCCCAACTCAACTCAATCTGAGGAACACAAGCTTTTCCAGAGGATGCAAACCAATTTTTTTCTGGAATGTTGAGGTAGCTTCCAAATGCTTAGAAGGACTACATGAGACAAGTTTCTTTTTTCCATTATTTCAATCAAATTTTTCTAAGGGGACTTGTTAAATTGGGGACCAAAGAATCGTTGATCATATATGTTCCCTATTATGGATTGTTTCTATCATTTTTTTTCAAGACATGGAAAAAAAATCTAAACAAAAAACCATCAATATAATAAAAAAATAAGTGGTTCAAATTAGAACATCATCCAAGTCATATCCCTGAAGTATTACTTGCAAATGCACTAACCTAGTTCCACAAAAAGGGGGGTTAGAAATTACAAATTGATCTCGCTTGTAATATGCACACTAAGAACAGGTTTCATCAAAAGAAACTTTAGCAAACGATATGCTACCAAATGAAGACTAGTCCTCATTTAAAAAGAAAAATTATTAATCACCTCAGCTGCAGCATCAAGCTGCAGGAAGACTGGAACAGGAGATGTGAAAGTAGGTTGCAGGGCTCCTGATCTCTCTCGAGTTTTATGATCCAGAACCTCCAACTTAAAAAGTATACTCTCGAACCTGTATTTAGCATATGCATGTGTGTAACAATGATAACGAAAATTACAATTAGCGTTATAGCAGACAGATTTGTGGTAAAATCTATGTAATCATTGAAGGATTTCTATCACTGGCAAGTAGTTCAGTGAATAAGATGGCCTCTTGTGCAATGAATAAATGGTATTTAAACTAGAATGATTATCAGTGTCATCTAGAGCCTAGTGCAAATTAATAAAATAAATATCACATCAGTGTACGCTATTGAACAATTTTTATAAGGCATTTTGCATCAAGGTCATCAAACCAAATTATGACGAAGGGATTAAACAAAAGCACCCCAGAAACTGAAGCAAATTTTAATGATCCAGTAGAACGTATTGTTTCGTCATAGAAAAAAAAATGGCATGTATACTAGTGCCAAGAGCCTCATTGATCCCTATCAACATTAGAAAGAATTTTCACCCAAAAGATTAATTGAAGCATTGAAAACATGTGAGGCCTCACCATGCTCGTCATCACTTGATGGTCACATAGTTGCTTACTGTAATCGAACTGAAGTTCACTCTTGGCACAATAATGAGGTGATCACTGCGCCAGACTATTCTTCAAAAATAGAATATAGAATACCTCAAATTGTAGAAAAACATTGGTTATAATGTTAGTCCAAGCAATTTACGATCCAATAAATGGGAAGCTCTGCTCCAACCAAAAGAGAAAAAAATAAGTCTTCATACAAAAACTATTCAAAGAGCAAAATACAGTTCTGTGCAACACATCACTGGGAGAAGTATAAGACATGTCCATGAGTGCAAATTTGAACTGGAATCAGGCATGAAAGACTTATGAAACCAATAAGATTTATCAAGGATAAAACCTATTGTGGAGAAGGTAGATGGGATTTACACTAGACTACCCAAGAAGAGAAGGAGAAGATGATGGTGCTTCCTTGGAATGCATGCCTCCAGGTTTGGTGTCCCTTGTAATATATGCCTTTGAAGAGAGGGGGGAGACTCAATGGGAGCCCAAGGCCGAAAACACAAGATAGGGAGAAACAAAATGGAAGGGGGTTTCTAATTTCACACACAAACAAATTAGGATTAGCCATCCCTTAGCAAAAACATTTTTTTATATATTTTCTTGATAAATGGTGGCCAATCTATATATGATAGGAAGGAAGATGTCATTCAATAAAATAGTTGTTTGTCTTCTAAATTTTATCATATAATCTTGCACATTTTGCCTATCCTACTTTAAATTGAACCATTGGATCCATTTTTCTTCTTCATGACTGAAAGGAAAGGATTGGGTATTTAGTGATATTTAAACTCTAACCATATCAAGATTGATAGATTATAATTTTAAAAATCTGACCTCCACCGCGCCCAGTCCAGTAAGAATAACTTCAAACAAGCAAATGCAAATTTCTTCCTATTTGGATAATCAGAAGACATGATGATTATGTAGAAACTCTTAACCAATTATCAATTACTTCAGTTTTGATTGTTCCATCGTAAATGAGGAAAGCTTTTTTTAATCTTAAGAGAAATACATTATTGTCCTCACATTCATACATTCTGCTCAACTTATCTATTTATGATTCTCCAATACAGGCTGTCCATCAGAAATTTATCCTTCTATCCAGGCAGATGGTGGTTAAGCAACATATGGTGTCAATTCATGAAAAGGGCTTCAAAGGCAACCATTGTTATGGCCATTTGATCGGACATCTACTTGGCCACATATTTCTTTGAGCATGAGAGCAATTGTCCATAATCTATCCTCATAGTCAAGATCTCTCCATAGAATCACCAAAAGTATCTTAATTTAACCATGAAAAATAATTTTATTAGTTGAAACTAAGACGTCATAATCGAGCGTGAAAGGCTTACGAAACTAATAAAAATTATCTAGGGCAAGGATCTAGGATTTCTATCGAGTGATTAAAATAGATTACTTTAGAGGAGTGAGGAAGGAGGTGGTGGTGCCGACTTGGAATTGATGCCTTTAGGGAGATAGAGAGACTATGAAAGAGAAAAAACGACTGAATCATCTCACCTAAATCCATATGGAGAAAAAACAATAGACTGAGAAGGAATTTCTGATATCCTTGATGCAGGCCTAAAATTAACATCCACTCTTTAGACTAATGGAGACAATTCATAGTCTTCAAAATTCAACTACAGACCAATTTAGAAAATATTTTCCTATAATTCCAACATCCGTTCAAATTCTTGTTAGTCATCCATCAAAAAATAAGAACACTTTCATTTTATTATTAAAAGCTTATTGAGTGATGTAGAATAAAGAGCAGAACTTTATGGAGTGAATATGTTAGTGCCCCTGAAAATGTACACAAAAATTTCTCTCACCTTACTCTTATATCCACTCCTCTCCTTACTCATTGTCACCCCCTCTATTTAATATAGCAATTACAACTTTGCAGTTTTTGTCCCTCCCAAGTTCATATTTGCAAATGATACCTTCTCAATATTAATATTGAGATTGCAAATATTCTAGAGAGCATCTTAAAAACAACATTAGGACACATTCTACTCAAGGATTACAATTAAGGATGACAAGTTGGTTTGCACAAAATCAATGGACATCAGCTTCCATAGAGCATAAAATTTTATTTTATTTTCGCTAAATTGCAACAAAAGCTTTTATAACTCCTAGAAAAAAATTATTCTATAAAGTGAAGTCCAATTCATGGAGGTTAGGGTCATTATCCAAAACTAACAATACCAAACTTTCAAATAAATGTTCCAAAAATCAAGCTTCCAACTCGCACGATAATTACTTCAATTCTCTCTCTCTTTCTCTCTCTCTCTCTCTCTCTCACGCTTTCTCCTACTATGTATACTTATCTCTTGCCATCTTATAAGTATCAATATTCATATATTTGTATGTATGGAAAGATGAATTTGTTTGTATAGTTCTAAAACCATTCATATGTAATTATTAAAATAAATAGAAAAGTCTATGCAATTCGTTGCTAAAAAATGTGGACATCTCTATTTTTGTAGTCTCCTTCATGTTGACTCAAAAATAAGCTCAACTAGACAAGAAATCAAGGTTGGTTCACTTGATTTTGATTCAACCCAAAAAAGCTAGAATCGATTCAAGGCGGGCTCACTCAAATTTGATTCATTATAAAAATTAACTTAAGCATATCTTAACAAGGAAGGCCAAAAAAGCCAAAAATTTCTAAACAAAATTGCAACAAATGGCTTGTCATAATGAAAAGCATGCAAAAGGGGTTAACAATTAAGTTACAATGCATTTAAAACATTTTCATTAAAACAAAATTCCATTTCAATAACTTCAAACAGTTACATAAAACAGTTCATGTGCCATCCATGAAATCAAAATAGGTCATGATCAGCTATGGTGCAAATCACAAAAGAAAATGCAATCTGGCATCACATTTAAGTAATCCTAACTTGTCTAGCATGCTAAGTTAGTATCAGGTGAAAAAAAAACCCCAACATTTAAATTCAGAAGCAGAAATATTTCAATATGTGAAGAAAAGCTATTCACTTTTCAGGTGGAAGAATTCTCCTCTCATTATTGAGATTTTGAAGCCAATCCTCATCCTCGTTGTCAAGATCATACTCTATAAAGTCACTAACCTCTGCTCTAGCTGCAAAGAAGAATAGATTTCAAAAAATTTAAAAGGAAGTCATTTGGTGGGGAGCGGGGAACCTTAATCAAAAGACAATAGGAGCAAACCTCCTCTTCCACGTAAGTAAGATGAAGGTTGGCTGAAAGTTCGGGAATAATCCCTTTCATATGTTTCCACAAAATTATACTGTGGTGTGGGGATTTCAGATGACACTTTTTTGACAAGGATGTGATGTACCTGGAAGGCATCATCAGTATGAGGTTAATCATTGCCAAGAACATATTAATTTAGACATATTAAAAGGAGGTTTAATGCATTACGCTTCACAATGGACATAATTCTATTATAATATATTCTGAGGAGCAGTTTCCAAGTTTTCCAAAGCAATTGAATAAATTTTGCCTGGTTTATAAGAAAAAACATGTATTGAAAAATAAATTTAAATGGCAAATGACTTTTATGCCTCACAATGAAAACTGTTCTTATCACATAAGAACAGATACTATCTTTCTGCATTCAGAGGCCAAGTTAATATAAAACAAAAGGAAGACTCAAGGATCTTGCCAATAAGCATATGCAAAAAAGAAAAGCAACAAAATAGATTCAATCCACGTGGAAACCTGAAGTTATGATTAGAATATGATCAGATATAAATGTTAGCTAAACTGAACTATAATTGCTGTGGATTTTGTTCGATCCACTTATTACGATTAAAAGGTATGGCAGTTGGATCCAATGTATGAAAAATCACATAATTTTTCCAAATTTAAAACTGTAAAGTGGCAAATGAAATTAAACATGAACTTTTTGCCAAAATTGAGTACACCGCTGACAAAAAGGGTTTATGATCAAAGCTACAATGCATCTAAAATAGAAACGTAAAGAAAAAAAATACTTATTCAACTCTTGGAAGTTACTATATGGTTTATTGTCAAACGTCTCAGTGCTTTGGTCTTGTTTAAAAGCTAACTTTTTCCTAATTTTGCTTTTTGAATGATTCACTTCAGGCTATTTAGAAGAGGTTTCTGTGAGTTTGGGGTGCATTTTTCAAGTTATTAAAATCATACAACTAAACTCTAATGTGTTTTCCACTGTAAACCTGCCTATTCCAATTAAGGGTTGAGTATCAAGATATTGAAGGGGCAAAAAAGTTTTGAATGTCCATTACTTCAGTACTGCTCAAATGCACCCAAGTAAGGGTTTTTTTTTTTTTTCCCCTCATGTAAGATAGAACTCAACAATGGCCAACTATCACAGTTCGAACCTTTGGTTCCAAATGAAGATTTTAACTAACTTAAATATGATCTAAAAGGAACAGTTTTTATAAACTACACAGAGAAATAAAATAATTACAATAAATGTCATGACAATACCATAACTTTTTTTTAGCATGCAGTTATGATCCCCATCCCCCATCTTCCTGGTAACCAACGAAACAAATTCAAGTTTGTCATTATCTAGCCACAAGCACTTCAAACTGCTACTTACAACTTTCAAGCAAAACCGAAAAAAGAATTGATAATCCTATAAAATCTCAACCCAGATAAAAACAAACCAAGTTCAATGCACCTTAAATTACGACAAAAAAGGACTATAATAAATAATTCAAACACGTGAATAACAGTGTACCTCATTGTCAGTCTCGGCTGCAATTCGTAGCAGTTGTGAGTTCCGGGTGGCAGCAACAGCAGTAGGCACTTCATCATCATCAAAATCCTTCACAGACTTAATAATAGGAAGTTTCTTATGAATGTCAAGAGGGCGTGGCCGAAATGACAACCTACTCATATCTGCTCATGCTCCACCCATGCGAGCGCAAACGCTCAAACTCCACATCTGAACCCTGTCACTCCATCCAAACCTCACAGCCCACACAACTGAAGCTAACCAGCTATCACTCAGCCAAAAAAAAGTAGCAGAATTCAAAGTCGCCAACTTTCACTCAGCACAACCCGAAACCAACACAGGAAGCTCCAAACTTTACAGACAAGAACCGACGGCACAATTCAATGAAGAGCAAAGCAAAAGAAGATAACAGCACGGTGCCCTAGTCCAGAAAACAAATAAGCAACGGGCAGCTGTGTTCAAATTCCGCCAGTCCCAGATAACAAACGTAAGTATAGAACCTCTGGGAAGAATTCGAAGGCTTGCCGAAATTGACGGGCCAATTAGGGCACAGGCAGGACGCGCGAGTATGACCGATTTGGCGGGCCAGGGATTTGAGAACAAGGAAAAGGTCTGCGAAAGTATGAGAAGGAATGGGAGGAGAATTGAAGGGAAGGGTTTATAGGGTTTTGAGGATTGGAGGTCTAGGGTTTGAAAGAAGAGAAAAGCGAGGGAAGTGGAGAAGTGAGAAGAGTAGAGGGAACGTAGGGATGTTGGAGTTCTCGGAGGACCACTTCCCCTTCGATTCGAGCTGCTGATACGGCGCAGCTACGGATACAAAATCGGTTGTATACGCTGAGCTGCATGGATCGGAAGGCTGAGAAAGTTCATAGAATGTAGAACACTTAGCTCAAACATTTTGAAGGTTTGAATGTGGAAGCACTTTTTTTTTCATACAATTTTTGCATAATAATACTAAACAAATTAAAATTTACATATTAATTTTACATATCCTATGATGATAAAATTGAAGAAATATACTTATGTTCAAATGTACTATTCAAATTATAAGATTCTAAACAAGTTAGAAGGGGCATTGATTAGCATTCATTATCTCTTGTGATTATTGCAAATCAACATTCATTATCTCTTGTGATTATTGCAAGAAATGATTCTATGATAAAATTTTCATCTTTGTCCCTGACTAATTAATTATTGTTAAAAATGTTATAGCACTGATTAACTAAATATGTAAGTAACGCTCACATTGTGTGTTCTAAAATTATAAGGATATTAGTCATCAAGTTATTAATTTTGAATGTTGATTGAAATTTGTTATGACATTGATTGAAGTATGTCTGGGTAACAATCCAACGTTATTTGAAGCTTATTCATATGAATTTTGTAATTTGGAATAAAGTTTGAATAATAACTAAAGAAAGCTTGTTTATGTTCAAAAATATTTCAATCAATATTAGAATCCTACTCAAGTAAGTCCTAATAAGAGTTATCATGATTCTATCAATATTCAAGTAGAGTTTGAGGAAAATTAAATCAATCTCAGACATTGCTCAGATACTGTATAAACATAGTTTTAATTTATTATTTTGCACGCACTACCTATTTTAGAAATGACTTTATTTGAATTCTCTCCCTATATAGATGTATGCTCTAAACATATTTGTAGAAGACAATATGGTGCTAATCACATAAAAATTAAGTTTTGTGAAAAATATATATACATATATTATTAGATAGTTCAAGACTATTGATATGATTGTGTGAAATATTAGATGTCATAATATAATATGTATTATTGTTGTATTTTGCACTAATCAGCATTTGATTATAGCACTGAAGATTAAAATAAAATTGTAATTATATAATATCTTTATGTAATACAATTACTCTTTTATATTTTAATTTCATGTTTTGAACTACAATTATGAATTATAAATACATCTATTATTGCTTCATGAGAATTGATTAAATCCAATTGATCTTTAAGAGCACATGAAACCATGTTATTAATCTTAACTTGGTATATTTTATATTGTTGTAAATGTATTAGTTTTATAGTGATACAAATGAGTACTAAGAGCCATACTTATGAAATAAGACTGGCTTCATCAATATTAAATACTGAAACACTCATTTGAGACATAGAAGAGGCAATTCAATTATGATGTGCTATAAATATTATGTATATTCATTTATATCAAAAAAACTCTTTATCTCTCACTATGATTCCATTCTTGTAATTATTTTTAAAATATTATAAATATTTTAATTAAATGCTTCTAATTATAATTTTTTAAATGTTATGCAATGATATATTATTTTCCATTGTAATGTACTATAACTATTGGATTATACTTTTCTTTGGCTGCCTTATAATATATTATGTTATGACTAATGTTTTTGCATTATATTATGTTGAGCACTTTATAAACTTACAAACCATTTTTGAGCCTTAATTAGCACAATCAAATTATATGTAAATCCTGTATAAACTTTATTTAAATTTTATTTTTAAAATTTTCAAATATAACTTCAAATCAAAGTACATGATTTGAATCGATTGAACAATGTTCAAGCATGGGTTTATTTATTTATTTGCTTACGTCCACAATCTTGATTGAAGGATATTTGAATCAATTTTAAAATAATTATAATATCAAAAAAATAAATAAAAAAAAGTGCAAAACAAAACTTATGGGTATTTCTTCCCAAAAAAATATATTTCTAGCATATTTCTCACAAAAATAAATAGTGGGCACATTTTCTAATTTTTAATATTGTTGGGCATATAAAGTCATTGATGTTGGGATTTTCAAAAGATTATTTAATTAAATAGTCAGTGAAAAAGTGTGATTGATGATGGGGGGTGACCTTTTTCTTAAAGAGATTTATGACTATGATTGGCTTTGAGTTATAAATGTTTAAGGAAAGGATTCGGAGTTTGTGGTAGAGCAATTGGGGATTAAGAGATTCATAATGATAAAGATGCCAGAAAAGTTTAGCCTGATTTGTAAGATCAAGTTGAGGATATAGACCTTGTGGGGTAAACGACTAAAAAAACTTGTGTATTTTTGCCTTAGAATGTGTGGTTATGATCTGGAGTATCTCGTTAGATTTGAAGGAGTTTAATAAGAGTTTATATGTTAAGAGATAGATAACAATACTAGGTATTAGAATCGCTTAGCTTGATTAGGAGCATTAATATAATATTTGGAGTAAATATAAGGGTTTTATTCTCATAGGGAAATTGAGAGAAAGTTAATAATGATAAGAATATGAATTAAGATAATAATAACTAAAAAACAGAGATACCTAACTAATTTCACCAAAAAGGAAAATTTGAGCCACTAAACACCAAGCCAACAACGAGCAATCTTTCACTCAAAAATATATCATTTATCAATTGAATTTTTTTATTATATGCCAATTTTATTTATAGGAATTATTGTTGATCTTACTTTTGTTCAAACAATCCAATCTGGCCCTCAACCTCTTTATATTAGGACTAGGGCCTTTTAGTACCTTTAGGTGATCAAGGCTTTAGCTTGGTAGGCACAATCCCTGTCTTGTTTTTTCAAGTGAACTCTACTTGACCTTAGCTCACCTTGAGTAGTTGGGAGTCATGTGAAAAGTTCAATTTGGAACTTAGGAAGCCTATGTACAAGCTGGGTTTGTTTAGCTCAAGATATGGTTGGATTCTAGGGTTGCTTTGGTTAGGGAATTATTAAATCTGAAAATCATCTTTTTTGTGAACAAAACTCATTTCCATATTTACCTTTTTAAAACTCCCTTGCCACAAAGTGTATGCTCAGAAGAACATACCAAGAAAAATTTAGAATGAACTAAGCAAGTAAAAAAAAATAAAAAGGAAAGATATGAAAATATCTTACAAAACAATCATTGTAAAATGATTCAGGTAAGGGTAGTCCAAAATGAATTAGATCTTACTAAGCCCAAGTAAATATATAATGAAAGCTTTATAAAATACCCTTTTATCCAAACCAAAAAATAAAAATCAAATTTCTTTTGTTTTGGATTCAAAGAGATCTCCCACAATAATGTTTTCTCATGGTCATCTAAATCCTAGTGGATACCCAAAAAAACTCTCAAGAAGAGAAATTATGCTTACTTGCTATGATTCTATAAAAATTGGATGACAATTCAATTTTCACCAGCTCAATAAGAGCAACCTTTGGTTTTTAGCACGGAGTTAGACTATCGGGTAGAGGTTAGAAAACATAACTTGAATAGTAACTCACACCTCAACACTGAGGGTTTACGAGATGACTATAAGTGACTTGATAAAAGAGTACAGAAAAAGCCCAAAAGGGGGTAGTCGAAGGCATGTTAGAAAAAAACTATTAGACAGGAAGAAATAACTCGGTCAAAATTTCATAGATTCCTTGTCTCAAACTATCAAGATTGTATGTCTACATGGTCATGGAGGTAGTTGACCCAACCCGACCAGAAATTCCTTGTTGGCAATCCATGTGTTCTGTCATCCAATGTGAAGGAGAAATTTAAGGTTCCTAAAACTAGTCGAACTAATAAGGTAGAGTTGGACTTGTATATGTTAAGAGTATGATGAGGAGGTTTACAGAGTGAAAAGAAGAAAGAATGACCTGGATACAAAGTTGAATCACCTCATAAAAGACTCACGGTCCTATCTGGGTTGAGACTACCACAAACACCATAAATGTCTCTAGACAAAGCCTTCTAAGTGTATAAACATATGCTTGGCTAGTTAGGTTAGAGCAGCGAGAAAAATTTCTCTTGAGACAAGCATTGTTATCTAGAGCAAATCCTAAGTGTGGAGGCTCTGTTTTCTAATTAGAGGATGTTTCCATGCAATTATGATCATTTTAAAATTATCCTGAAGGCCATGTAAGAAAGTAAGTACAAAGAATAACATTTTTTATTTTAAAATTTTGTAAAATCTTAATTCTAATCTTTAGTATAGGTAAATATTTTAAGTTAAACTTTTGTATTAAAGGTATTTTCTTAAAGAGCCCAACCTGATTATACTCAGACAAATCATAAGCAAAATAAGGCAAAAATTCAACTCACTACACAAAGTGAATAAGCCAAACAAATATATAAAAGGCCAAGTGTCGTTGAGTCAATGATATATCCTAAAAAAATAAAAAATTTATTTGAGTCTATATAATACATGTCTGATCCTAGATCTATACAATAAAATAGTTTTAAAATTAAGTTATGAGGTGCGAACATCTGCTCTTGGTCCTCACAACATGATCCCTGTGCACCGAGCTCCTCAAAACTCATGCTCATATCTTATTTCCATACAGGTTCTCCTGAGGACTCTAAAAAATATATAAGAAAATTATAAAAGAAAAACATGATCTTGTCGGCACTATTTTTGGTGTGGGGTTTGTCCGTAAGAAGCTGTCGGTCATCGGAATTGAAATCTCGTTGCCCGCTTCGGAAGGACATTTTTAAAAAATTTTAATTTTGAAAAAGATGAAGTCAAACTGACCCCATAATTTTCATAGTTTAAATGAAAGAGCGCTTTACCTCAAATCCTGTATCTATCCTTAAGGATGAACACAAGAATTGAGGGTGAGGTTCGATCAAATAAACTAGAGAAAGTTATGACATCCGTTTGGTCTGCGAAACCAATATATTGGCTGACAAATTCCCCTATTTAATATAAGGAATTAAATAGGGTTTATATTATGTTGGGTTCGGGAAAAGCTTCCTATAAGGGCAAGCCCCTATAGTTAATTACATCTTAGATAATTGAAGTTACCTAAGAATACTCTCGATAAAAATCAAGAAAAATTA